GCGCCCGAAATAGGCACCAGGCCGGACAATCGGCTGCACCACTACAAGCAGCTCCTCGAGAGGCAGCGGGACCGGCCCTACAAACGATCGCTCGCCCCCCCCCCCCCCCGCCGCGCATTCAAGAGTCCGCGGCACAACCCCCCGACTACCACCCGCCCGCCACCGCACTACAGGTGTGACGACAGCATTCCGTGTCCTCCGAGGGGCGCCGAGGACAGGCGCACAGGAGGACGTGGCCCAAGCGACACAACCAAAGGAAGTGCCGTGCAACGCCCCACACCCCCGCGCCCCGAAATAGCCCAGGCAGAATCGGCTGCCACTACAAGCAGCTCCTCCGAGGCCAGCGGGACCGGCCCTACAACCGATCGCTCGCCCCCCCCCCCCCGCTCATTCAAGAGCCGCGGCACCCCCCCCCCTCCCACCGCCCCCGCACCGCACACACGAACACACACGCCCGTAGTACGCAAGGACGGCCAGCGACCCGCGAGGGAGGCCCGCGCGCCGGCCGAGGGAGCGAGGGACTGGGATGGCCGGACATGTGCATATGCTTGGCTGTACGTACTTTCAGTCATACAGACCTGTGCATAGACACACACATGTATGTATGTATGTGTATGTGTATGTATATGTATATGTATAAGGATAGGGATAGGGATATCGATGTGTGTGTGAATTAAAAAAAAAAAAAAAAAAAAAATATATATATATATATATATATATATATATATATATATATATATATATATATATTATATATATATAATATATATGTATATATACATTATACATATATATATATATATATATATATATGTATATATATATATATATATATATATATATATATATATATATATATATATAAAGAGAGAGAGGTGTGCGGGTGTATCTGTGTACATACATACATACATAGAATTATTGGCAATTGAGACTAACGCAATACTGCCAAGAATGCCACAGGGCGTCGTCATCGGGCCGGCAGGCGGAGTGTCGCTTGGCCTCGCCCCGCCCTCGCCCCCCAGCCTCGTCTTCCATCACTGTGACTCACGTTCACAGCCTCTGGAAAGGATGGGGTCGCGCGTCGCCTCCTAACGCTGAAGAATCGCCACTCTCCTTTTCGCTCTATCTATTAGAGTTCCTTTCCACTCGTCCCCTTCCGGGACCATCGATCTCCCGCCCCGTCGCCGCTCGCCTCGGCCAGGGGGAGGGCGTGGCAGCGGCCGTGCGACGCCTCCGAGGGGCATCCACCTCCTTCTCGGGGCATGCAATGTGTGTAAGTGAGTGTGTGTGTGTGTGTGTGTGTGTGTGTGTGTGTGTGTGTGTGTGTGTGTGTGTGTGTGTGTGTGTGTGTGTGTGTGTGTGTGTGTGTGTGTAAACACACACACACACACACATATATAACAAATCACATAACGGTAACACATAAGATAGAAATTTACAGTGCTGAAAAACTTATGCCATCGTATGATGTTTGATGTAAACATCACATACAAAAGGAAATGATACAGAATAACCTGTAAAATATTCCGTTTTTGCAGGATGGTCAGCTACCATAGTGAAATTATCTAATTATGTAATTCAATTTACGGAGAGCGCTTTTCCAAAGGATTGTTGCTTTCATTGTATTTTTCATTCACCCTTTGTCTCTGCGATGTACTAATAAAACAAGCAATAATCCTAGTGAGAAAGTGTGAGCTGATCCCATACACCACAGAAGGCCGGCAACACTGAGGGTGATGAGGCAGTGAGGGTGTTCGGAGTTAATATTAATGGCTCCGTTGACGGCCCTCAACATCACGCTTAAACTGCGACCTCTCCTTAAGCTTCACAGCTTCGGCAGAAGAAAGCTACTTTCATCAACAAAGGACAGACAGTGCAAGGCACTGTAACGAGGGTGAAAGAGAAGGGTCTCAGGGTGCCATTACCATACATAACCAAGCCTTCGCGTTAGGGTAAAGAAGAAAGGGGAGGGAGGCCCCAAAAGGCGTTGCTTTGGTTGTGATGCTGACCGGACCTGAATCTTCAAGTGTCACGTAACGAGAAAACATGGCACCTGCACTGCAGCCTCGCTTTCAATCACTTTGGCTACATCACATATCATATTGAGCTCACGGTTAATACACTATATGTGTATAAGATTCACGGTGTGTGTGTGTGTGTGTGTGTGTGTGTGTGTGTGTGTGTGTGTGTGTGTGTGTGTGTGTGTGTGTGTGTGTGTGTGTGTGTGTGTGTGTGTGCAAATACTGTTTATAAGCATATATTGCAAAAGAAAAAAACAACTGTTCGATCGAGAGAGAGGGGGAGTGGAAGGAGGGAGGAGAAGGGACCTGTTGTGTGCGAGAGAAAGGGGGAAGAAACAAGGAGCTAGAAAATGAATGGAAGGAGGAAGAGGAGTCAGGCGAAGTAAAGAAGCGCACAGGCCGGAGGAGAAAGGGAGGTCAGAGGGGGACAGGGAGATAAGAGGGAATGACACGTTGCCAGGGAGAGAAAGTCCGGAGGAAAGGGTGAAGGGTGAAGGGACGCCTCGACGCCGCCGGGAGGCTCGGCGGCACTCGGCTCTCCGGGTGAACACATGTGTGAATGTGTAGGTGTAGGAGGAATTAAACAAAATATATGCATGTAAACACTCACACACACACGTGTGTGTGTGTGTGCCCGCCCGTGTGTGCGTGTCTGCGAGTACGAGTGCGCATGTATGTATGAATGTATGTATGTAAGTACACACACACACACACACACACACACACACACACACACACACACACACACACACACACACACATATATATATATATATATATATATATATATATATATATATATATATATATATATATGAATATATATATGAATATATATGATATATATATATATATATATATATATATATATAACCCCGCCATATATATATATATATATATATATATATATATATATATATATATATATATATATATATATATGCATATATATATTCATATATATGATATATATGATACATACATATATATATATATATATATATGTATATATATATATATATATATATATATATATATATATATATATATATACACACACATATATATATATATATATATATATATATATATATATATATATATATATATATATATACACATATATACAAACATACATATACGCATATCCCGAGGCGGGGGGCCAAGGCGTGCCATGGCCGCGAGTGCCGCCCGAGGACGAAGCCAGCGGCCGGCGTTCAACTCCTTTGCCTGGAAACACATCACGAGGCGCGGGTCACGTGACCAAGCAACGCAATCGGCCCGGTGCTTGCGAGCGCGTGCGTGTGTGGGTGTAATGGCCTCAAAGTTGTCTCTCCACAAGGCGATCGATTCGCCAACCAGAGACTAATGATCGTCAGAGTCAATCGCAAGTTAATTGGCCAATCACGTTGATTTTAATCGGGCTACACTAGAGGCCGCTTTTTCTTTTATAAGAGGATGGGCAGGTTTATCAGTGTCGATTTAATAAGCACTTGATTCGTAGGCTCAAAAATAGAAAATATATTTTCTAATAATAGAAATTACCATATAAAAAATATGTATATTTTTGCTGCGACAGCTGGGTTCGATTTCATCAGCATTACTAACGTATACAGCAATCATTCGTGTCTTAATAACAAATATTCTATACAAAATTTACTATAAAATACATAATAATAAAGGGAAGTCTTGTCCTAAGCCGACCGTCACTGTTTATGTAGGTTTCACTTCCGGTGTTATTTATCATGTACTTCCGGTATTCTCTCCGCACCTGTTTATTTGTCTGGTCCTTCGTACCTGTACCTTTCCGCCATGCTTTAAAAGAGGAGAGAGAAAGAGAAAGAGAGAGAGAGAGAGAGAGAGAGAGAGAGAGAGAGAGAGAGTGGGAGAGAGAGAGAAGAGACATGCATACACTCACGCACACGCACACATATACACACACGCGTACAGGTCATGCTGCTGTCATGGTTCGTAACACCAGGAGCGGCAAAACAACGACGATCACGGACAGGCCGAAAAAAAGGAAGAAAATTGGAAAGAAAAAGAGCAATGGCGTCACCTGTTGAATTTGTTCCTATGCCTTGAAGCCCCCCTCCCCCCCTCTATCTCTCTCTCTCTCTCTCTCTCTCTCTCTCTCTCTCTCTCTCTCTCTCTCTCTCTCTCTCTCTCTCTCTCTCTCTCTCTCTCTCTCTTCCTCTTTTGAGAGAGAGATGTGTTTGCTCTTACATGGTCTTGTCTCTATGAACCGCAATAAAATGAACATTGATAAAGATCGGCTAAAAGCCACTTCGTCGACCCCCTCCACCTCCATCAGTTCCTGCCATGACGTCACTTACCCAAACCCCTTCCCCACCCAGGCGGTAAGGGCGACGCACGCGACAAAGGGCCTTCCATCCCCCGCCACAAGGATGCAGCTTCATTAGCCTCCAGCGATAAATAGCGGCGGCGGCGGTAGTGGGGGGGGGGGGCACGGAGAGTGGGCGGAGTGGAGGAGGGAGAAGGGATAGGGGGAGGAAAAAGGAGGGGGAAAGGGGGAGGAATGAAGGTGAAGGGGAAGGGGGAAGAGGGAAGGGAAGGAGAGGGAAGGAAGGCAAGGAAAGGTAAATGTGCAAGTGTCAAAAGGAAGGGATTTAGTAATGACGATTAAGCGATGAAAAAAAATCCTCTGGTAATCTGGTGAAAGGAAAGGAGGGAAAGGTAGAGGGAGTGAGAGGTAAGGGAAGCATGAGGCTCCGTAATGGAAAGATGGAGGAAGGGAGGGAAGGAGGGAGCGAGTGGCGGGGTTACTAACGGTACATCATCTTCCCTCGCGTCCCATTCTTGGCCCCTGCCCCCGCTTCCCCATTGCCCACTCTCCGCTCACCTTCCTGCCCACTCCCCTGCCCCTTCCCCTCCCCTTCCCTTTACCCTTACCCTGCCCTTCCCTCTCCCTCTCCCTGCCATCCCCCCTTCCCTCCCCTCTACGCGGAGAGAAATCCC